GAAAGCGCTAAGTATATACGCACTCGTTCTAAAAAAAGATTTTATAAAAAAAGCGCGCTTGTCCTAAATAAAAAAAGATTTAACATAAAAAACTAATTTATCAATTTATAGTCAATTTTCAATAATCATCAATGAAATCTAATACAGATATAATACTTATGCTATGCAATGTGTCTTAAAATTATCAGATGTATTTTTAGATTCTGAAACATTTTTAAGGATGCGTTCTGTTTCACGCATGATGCGCATAAATGGCAAACGCATAGCATGGAATGCAGACCCCGTTTCTCTCACACATTTCATGCATTGATCATGCGCATCTAATAACGGAACAGATTCTATGCAGTTCATGCAATACTAGAAACATGGACCAACATGGATGACAAAATTGGACACTTTAATCATTTCCGTAATATCTTTTGTAATGAAAGATTTTAATTCATACTTTTTAAGCAGCAAGTCAAGTAGTGATTCACTTGAAAGTGAATCAAGTGATGAAGAAATGTCAACTTTATATAGTATTTTGATATTATAGTATTTTTGATATTCTTCAGGTGATATTCGTATTGTATGTTACGTCCAATGGACTCCATGATTCTTTTCTTTCCCCAAAAGGGCTATTAATAATATTTCTCTTATACACGAATATTTCGATTTATTTATAAGATAAGCAGACAAAGAAAGAGAATTGTAACCGTTCCAACTATTCAAGAATATTAGAACAAGCTTTTTATTTAATAAGAAAAGAACATTATTAAATATTATAAATCCTCAGGTTGGATCTGTAGCAAGTCTGTATATTAAGCATAAGCATACAACGAGCACGAGCGAGCGTTATCTAATGTAAACATCCTGTCTAGCTCGGATTCTGTCTTACCTCGCCTAGCTACTCCAGATTCCCAGAATCAGTATCCCTCCTCTACAAGAATTAGACTCTGGACAGCCTATAAAAACGGGGCTTCTCTTCTGGGGCGCACAGCATTCATTTTTTATCCAGTACATTAAGCCACTTTTTTTAAATTTTCATCCAGTACATTAAGCATTCATTCAGCATTATTCTCTAAAAAATTTAATCCAGTAATATCTTAATCCAATATTATCTGTCTAACATTCATTATTCAATTAATAAATTAAAAGTAGTGAGCAAGTCAACTCTCCAAAAGAATATCCAAAAGAATATACAGGCTTATTTTTCAGCAATCCCGATTTTAATCGTTTATCAGTAAGTCTTTGTTGATTTTGAAGTAATTTGATTAATTTTGAAGTAATTTGATTAATTTTCGACATTTCATCTCATTTAAAGCTACATCTCTCTTTTCTTTATCCTCTTTCCTCTTATCTTTCATCTATCTTTCTTTTTCTCATCGGTGCGGACTACTTGAGACCTCCCGAAGGCCCTCGAAGGCTCCCGGTTATTTTACCTTTCCTTTTTTTCTCTTTCTCGCCGGTGTGGACTACTTGGGACCTCCCGAAGGCCCTCGACGGCTCCCGAATTCTTTATCTACGCAGTTCTCTGTCTCTGTCTTTCCTAGTTTCCTTTTCTAACCTTATTATGTGCGAAATTTCTCTTATTTCATTTTTTCCTTTCCCCCGTAGTGAATCAAACAAAAGCACCGCCTTTTAAAATTCAAAAATCTGACCGTCTATTAAAACCCCGTCGCCATTATAGTGGTGAAGCACGGCGGATATTCAGAGTCAAAAATAAGAAAACAAAACGAAACGATCAACCGACGAACCAATCTACCGAACGGTTACCATCACTTCTTCTACTATTGCTTTTGAATCTTCCTATCCTTTTCTCTCTCAATTAACCTCCCTTGAATCTCCTCTCGAATCTCCTCATTCCTAGCTTTTCCTAGCTTTTATCCGAAATTTTCTACCGATCTCGCTGGAAAACCGTATTAGGTGTACAAAAAAGTTCTGAGCTTCTTTTTGTAAAATTCAATCATCTTTATTCAAAAACAAATAAAAAAATAAATTAATCAGCGAAATATTCCCCGTTTCCATCAACGACCTTTTGCCATCTTTCGGGTAGCTTGCGAATTCCTTGATGATAGAAGCTCATCGGCTTTAAAGTGATAAAGTCATCAATGCATTTTCGTATCTCTTCAAATCTCACGAAATGTGTATCAGCCAAATGATGCTGCAGCGACCGGAATAGGTACTAATCGGAAGGCGCCATGTCTGAGCTATACGCCGCGTGCGGGAGAAGTTCCCAGCCTAACGCAAAGATATGGTCCTGAGTCGCTTTCGCAACATGTGGTCGAGCATTGTCATGAAGCAAGATCACTTTACGATGTCCTTGGCCAGTAAATGGCCTCTTTTTTCTAATGCATCGCTCAAATTGATCAATTGTTGTTGATAGCGGTCTGCCGTGATTGTTTCACCCGGTTGTAACAACTCGTCATATAACACACCTTTCCAATTCCATCAGATACAGAGCAAAACCTTCTTGGCGTGGATATTGGGCTTTGGCGTCGATGTCGAAGGTTGACCAGGGTCAACCTATGATTTTCTACTGAGTTTAGTGTGTAACGCGGTCACCTCGCTCGACGCTCGGATCGGCTCGTCGGTGTCCGGGTTCGAGAGGAGGGGAGACTCGAGCGTACGCGAACATAGGTTGCAGCGAAAAGATCGTTTATTGGTAGAAAGATAGATACAGAGTAGTGCAGAGCCGGGTGATGTCGCAGTGTCGTTGGTAGCAAAGCGGAGACGCAAAGCGGTTGGCGTAAGGTGGCGAGAAGCGCAAGACAGGTGCGGCATGCGGTCGACAACGGTTTATTTACACGTGACTATGACGCGGTTACAACTAAAGAACTTAGGGCTACCGGCTTATAACTAACGGACTTAATTTATATCCCATGCACTTACAAGCTAATGTCAGGTTGGACGGCGAGGTATTGCGGGCAGGGCCGAGTGTCACGTCGAGCCCTGCCTTTGCAACGGAAACCCGGCGAAACCCGGTGGAGCTGAGCGAAATCTCAGCCCGCGGAGTGGTGACAGGAGTCGGCGAAACCCGACAGAGCTGAGCGAAACCTCAGCTCGAAGGTAGAGAAAACCGGTGAAATCCGGCAGAGCCAAGTGAAACCTTGGCCCCGAGAGGTAGTAGATACTGGTCAGGTCAGTGTCAGGAGTCAGATCGCAGGATGGGATCTGGTCTCGATGTCTCGGCTGGCCGGGCTTATATACCTAGCTGGCGTTCCCCACTATGCGCCGTCGGTCCGGCGGTGGGGAGTCGGTATCACGTGGGGTACCATGAGCGATAGCGTGAGCGAGACGACGCGTGCGGTGTACAGGCAAGCAAGTGGAATAGCGCGAGCGGTATGCGTGCAAGCAGGACAAATAAGCCAGGTGTATATGTATATATGAATATATATTTTCCTTACAAGTAACGGCTCTGCCGTTACAAGGGTTATCATAAAGAATCCATTTTTCACCGCCTGTAATGATTTTGTGCAGAAAATCTTTTTTCCGGAACTTTGAAAGCAAAGTGAGTGCAGTGTTACGCCGATGATTTGTTGTCTTCGGACAATTCATGCGGAACCCATCTGCCTTCCTTCTGAAATCCTTTCCCATCGTATGTAAACGTACGGAAATGATTTGCTGCGTAACGCCAAGCTGTTCTGCAAGCTCCTTTTCAGTTTGCGCAGAGTTTGTATCCAGCAGTGCTTGCAATTCGTCCGTTTCAATCTTTTGAGGGCGTCCAACACGCGGTTCATCTTCAAGACTGAAATCTCCTTGACGAAATTTTTGATACCATCTTTTACATGTAGTATGACTTACAGCATTCTCTCCATATGCAGCACAAATCATTGCAGTGGCTTCAGCAGCATTTTTCTTTAGATGAAACGCGAAGTGGATGGAAAATCGAATATGCTCTTTTGTTATTGCCATCGTGAACACAACTGATTTTTATGTGCATCAAACCATATGGCATTTTAGAAGGCCAAATGTCAACGTTTTAAAACCGCAAAAGGGCGGGAAGATATATAAAATTTAAATTGTTATTTTGATTGTATGAAATCTAAAGCTCAGAACTTTTTTGTACACCTAATATTTGATCCTGAACCTATCCTCGACTTCGAAATCCTATCTCCCGGTCCTTTATTCTCCAATAACGGAGAATCCTTGTTTCCTAATTTTGAAATAGATTTTCCGGAATTATTTGATCTCTCAACCGTTCCTTCAGAACAAATTCAAGAATACACTCCTCCTTAATTTTCCATTATATACACATACATATTATTTAAATAATATCAATTTTTCGTTTTTAATTTAAGTTCCCAAAATATATTTGTAATGTATTACCGGATAGGATCATCGTTTAATACACTCTTACACTCACACTCTCCCTGTTAAAAATCCTACCCGATGGCCGTCGAACGATTGTAACATCCGCGATAACATACATGCACACTCGATTACATCATTTCTCTTGCTTCTCAAAAACATGTATAACATTAACCATTTAATTTAATTTTAAATTCTCTTTATTTTTCTTAAAAACACCCATCTTATTTCAATTCAGTTTTTTGACCAGAAAATGTTGACCGACCAGCGCACGTCTGTGAAATAACGTCATAGCGTTCTCGCATCGCTGACCTAGTGCCGAGACTTATCAGTGCGCTCAGACTCGAGGGATCACGTTTCCACGCTTGGCCTTCGAGAGAGCAGCTGTTCGCGTTTTTCCAAGCCCATCCGTACTCCGCTCACAAATCTTAATTCTTAATTCTCAATTATTTTCAATTTTACTCCGGGCTGGACGTAACATATATAATTCTTTTTTTTCCTCAAAAAGAATTGGAATATTTATTTTATCTTTCATTTTCAAAATTCAGAACTTTTGTTATCCTTCCAATTTTGTTCTATGCATGAGCTTGCATGAAGTGCCTCAATTCGCGAGGTGAGCATTTCATGCGGTCTTATGCACCGGAAGAGGCGGAGTCATGCGGTTGGCGGTAAGTTAACTTATGCAGGGAATGCGCATGAAGAAAAATGAAACGGATTTCTATGCGTTCATGTGCATCGTGCATGAATGGAACGCACCTTAAATAAAAATTCTTATACAAAATGTCAAAATTATATAATAATTCTTAAATGAAAATCATTTAAAGTTTATGAAAAATTCACATACTCAGATATGGCACACCACAGTGAAAATGTTTTTTATAATTTGATTCATTATACAGAATGGATTATTTTAATTTGTACAGTCAATTTTCTCAAAATCTTTAAGTTTAAAACAAAAATGTTTCAGACAAAAATTTTATGGCTTTAAGGATGAAAGAAGACAGTGACCTTGATTGACCTCCAGAAGATGTCCTTAAAATCAGATCAAGGTTACCTAAAATTTTTTTAATGGAAATCTCCATTTTTTATTATATATTTT